TGTGTATCCCAGGGCAGTCCCAGCTCCTTGCTGTGTCCCTGGAGCTGTTCCATGCTGGCTGGATGCAGCTGGAACCTCCCTGGCTGCACTGCCCTGTGCCAGTGTTGAGCTGTGGGTCTGGCTGTGGCCTGTTTTGAGCTGGTTGATGCCTGTGCAAGGATTTCCACCAGCAGCAAACAGTCCCTGCTGTGAAATCAGAGGAGCTGCCAGGCTTTCCAGAGAGTTCTCAATGTCCCATCGTTTCCCAGCCCTACACACCAATTCCTGGGATCAGGCTGGAGCTGGACATCTCAGGCTGCCCAGGAGGGTGATGTGACCTGTCCTGGTTGTGGCCACAGCTTAGCAGAAAAGACCTGGAGTCTCTCAGAACTTAAGCTGAGATTTGCAAAGGCCTTTGGCTGCTTTTCTCCCTTAATCCCTGGGGAGTGAGGAGCCTCTGGAGGCTTTGAGAGCTCAGACCTTGTCCTCATCCTCACAACCTGAGTGGGTCCTGCAGTTCCTCTGCCCATCAGAGCTCCTTCTGCTTGCTACAGGCTGGGGAATCCCTCAGGCATCTCTCTGGGGGGTGGCTGCAGCCCCTCTGCACCTGGGAGGGATTTGGGAAGGAGCTATCCAGGTGGGAGAGGAGGGAGAACATCACTCTGCACTGCTGCAGCTCCCTGGAAGAGATGGATCAGCACATCCTCCCCTGTGTGTCTGTGCCCCACACAGCCTGGGGAGGCCCTGGTTGTGTTGGGGCTCTCAGAGCTGCTCTAAGCCCTCCCTGTACCCCCAAAATGATGTGTCTACCTGCCAAACCAGGGGCATTGCCTGACCTTCTGCCCCATCCCGTGCCCATGTTTCTTCATCTCCAACTAGCAGGAGCAAAGAGGTGTGTGGACTCCAGCACGAGACCTGTTTTTAAGTAGAGCCTTGTGGCTTGAGGAAGGGGTTGAGGGAGCTCAGCAGCCCAGGCTGAGGGGTAGGTACCCAGGCAGGGTGGCTTGGTGTGTCCCTGTGCCTGGTGGCAGTGTGTCCTCCCCCCTAGTCCTGCTCCAGGCTTGGTGGCTGTGCTGTTGGTGGAACTGTGGGGCTGTGCCAAGGTTTGGGGACCCACCTCAGGCTCTGCATCTTCCCTGGATCCCTTCCCCACTCTCCAAATTCTCTGTTCCCAGCTGTGCTGGCTTGAGGAGCCCACAAGGCCAGAGGTGCTTGGAGAGCTTCCCAGACTGGAGTGACTTTGGCATGGAAGACACACACTTGGACAGCCCCGAGGAGCCTCTGGGAGCACAGCAGGACACACACTGATGGCTCTGGGCACCTCCTCTGCCCTCCCAGGACCTGCAGCCCTCGCTGGGAGAGGGAGCACTGCAGAGCCAGAGGGATGGCCAAGCTGCTGGGACTGGGATTGCACTGGGAATTCAGCCTTGGCCTGGGCTCACATTCCCTTTCCCTGCTGCCTCCTGTGACGGTCCTCCATGTCCTAGACAGTGTTTGCATTAATCTCTTCTTGGAGAAGGGATCTAGTGGCTAGTGAATCCTGTGTTTGTTGTTCCCATGGCCTTTGCTCTCTGACTGGAGCAGGAGCAAGGCTCAGTTAGGTGGCAGTGCCAGTGAAGCTCCATGTTCTTGGCATACCCTGGGGCAGGGTGGGATACACAATGTGCACCACGATGGGCAAAGGTTTTCCTTGGTGGATCCAGGGATGTCTCCAGTGGAACCCCAATGCAGGTAGGGCAGGCTGGAACTCCTGGGGAGGGTGAGGATGCTCAGCTGCACAAATCCAGAGCCCACACATGTGGTGCAGATCCCAGATCCACCCCTGGGGCCTCCTGGCACAGCTCTCCCTGTGGCTGGGATGAGCAGAGATGAGATTTCCCTTGGGAATGTGGGGCAGGGATGAATTGGAGGGCAGGTAGAGGGAGGCAGTTTGTTTCCCCTGCCATGTTGAGGAGTGTTCCTTCCAGCTGAGCTCCTGCCACACACCAGGATGGATTTGCTGGGAAAAAAAGGATCACGTTGGCAGCGTTGGGTTGTGGCTGCTCTTGCTGCCCATCCCCGTGTCCTCCTGCCCCCTGTCCTCCCCCAGCACTGGTGCAGGCAGAGCTGACGTGCTCTGACTCGGAATAAAAACCAAGTAGAAGAGTCTTGCGGCTCTGGCAGTGTCTGTCCACATGGGGATAAAGGCGGAGACAGGGATTTAGGGAACGCGGTGGGAGGGGGGGGGATGGAACCTTCCCCACTCAAACCCAGCGTGGCTCACCCTGCTGGGGCAGGAGCAGACAGAGCTCAGTGTCCTGCGCTGACCCCAAAGCGAGGGCGGTGGGTTCTCTCAGCCCCACGCAGGAGGGAGCAGGACTCAGCGCAGAGGGGGAGGGAAGCTTGGCAAACCCTTGGAGGCACATCCGAAATGTCAGGAGAAGTTCACGGCCAAGGCTGGCAGCTGCTGGAGCGCTGGAGAGCCCCTGCCATTGGCCGGGCCCCCTCTTGCCCCGT